GCAGTCGTCTTGGCTCTTCTGCTGGGCCTTCTTGGCATCGCGCTCTTCCCGGCCTTCTTCAGTCTCTGCTGGGTCAGCACCGTCGATCAATGAATCGCGCGGGCAAGCCGTCAACGCACCCCCCCCCCCGCCCGTCGCGCGAAATCGCTTGCGTCGGGCGGGGGGCGATTCGCTTGCCCGCGCCGCCCAGCCCCCTCCTTTCCCCCTCGCTCCATCGCGCGGAGTACGGCGCCCTGCGCGCGTCTCTCCCAATCGCTCTGCGAGTCGCGCGCCGTTGGTGGCGCCGCGCGAACGCCGTGCATTGGGGTTCGGGAGTTCTGCGCGCCCCACGCCCGCGCTGCTGCAGGCGCCCCCGTCGTTTCGGAAGGGGCGGGGGGGGGGGGGGCAACTCCAATCGTGGATCGGCCATGGATATCACCGCCGCCCGCATTAGATATGGAATCCTCCAGGGTCTGGCGCCTGCTGGGGCTATTCGAACTTAGCGAGCGCCTCCACCGCAACGTGGCATCGCATGTCGCAGCATAACATCACATGAGATCGGAGTAGGACACTGGGCGAGGGAGAGGGGGGGAGGTAACTGAGTGGGCGGTTCACCCTCGGCGCGGTCGAAATATTTGCTCACTGCGTGGAGCCCCCCAGCTGCGCGCCCATCATCGTGGACCTGTCCGCCGCGAGTGTCTAGGCGGAAGAGACTTCGCATATGGGCGGACTGGAATATTGGCAGACTGGGAGCGAGTCCAACTGTGAACGGGTATGAGCGCGAATGCGCCTCGGCAGTGCGAGTGCGCCAACGCGCGCAGGGCTGAGCATGGTTAACTTTGGAAAGCGCATCTGCATGTCAGCGGCCCCAGCATGACCAAGCGTGACTGAGCCGCAACGGCTGCGCGATCCCCCCCTCCATGCTGAAACGCGCAGCAGGGGCGCCCGCGTAGACGTCGCGCGAGACCCTTGCACTTCGTTGGCTGGCCCAGAAGACCTCGCGCAGCGGCTCGCGCAAACAGCTCGCGCGACGCGAGAGAGAGAGAGAGGAACAAATAATAATAAAAATAGAGAGAGAGAGAAAGAGAAAGAGAAAGAGAAAGAGAAGGAGAGAGAAAGAGAGAGAGAGAGAGGGAGAGAGAAAAAACGAGAGAGAGAGAGAGAGAGAGAGAGAGAGAGAGAGAGAGAAAGAAAAAAAAAAAAAAGAGAGAGAGACAGAGAGAGAGAGAGAGAGAGAGAGAGAGAGCGCTCGCGCGCGGCTTCGCGTTGGAGGCTCGCGCGCCAGCGCCCCCGCTGGCGGAATAAACTGCGGCGGCCCAGGCATGAGCACATGGCGCGAAGCAGGGGGCGCGCTGCTCGGTTCTTCAGAGGCCAGAGCAAGTCGCGCTCGCCACAAGCGCGGAAAGCGCGTCGGGAGACACTGCCGGGCCAGACCGCCCGCGCCGGGCGTCGGACCGATCATTCAAGCGACCACTTGCCTTCGGCATCGAGCAGCGCGCGGCTGAGCGCGTGGAGAACTGGAAAACTAGGTCGTCGGTCGTCGGCGCTTGGCGCCGGGCCAACAGCTCGGTCACGTTCACGCAATTGCCGTTAGAGAACTGATCGGGCGGCTCATTTGAGCCAGCTCGCGCAAGACCGTCCGCACTCGGCATCGGGCCACAGAGGGCTAAGGCTGCCGCTCTTCTTCTGGCAGTGCCATCCCTATTCCTCGGCGCGACGAACGGCTCTCTCCCCCATTAAACCTCCGTCTTCTCGAAGCGTTTGAGAGCGCCCTTCACCGACTCCGGCGGACCTCTTTCCAGCGGCAGGCGAGGGGGCGGCCGCGCCTGCCGCGTGTCCGCCATCCGGGTGGCGCGGGAGAACATCGCATAGAGGTTCAGCCACCATGCGTCGTCGTCAGCGCCGCGCTGCCCCTGGGGTTCCTGGCTCGCGCAAACGATGGTCACCGCGCCGCGCGTCGCCTGCCCAGGCGAGGCCGCCGTCGTCAGGTAGTGGGCGCGCGACAGCATGAAGCCGAAGCGCTTCGCGCTGTGCGCCACGGGCGACGCCTCCAAGGTGAAGGCAGTCTCCATCAAAAGCATGCAGAACAGGCCGCGAGCAATCTTGTCATTCGCAGCCTCTCTTCTTTGTCACGTAGTCCATAAACTCTTGCCACGCTGGGGCCTGCCTGTAGTCGTCGGCCTGCAGCCAGATGCCCGTCGGGGAACGGCGCTGTCTGAAAATCTCGGTCGGGCGCGCGTTGTTGTAGTTCTTCTGGTCGTCCGTTTCGAACACGAAATGAACGATGGTGGCCCACTGCTCCTGGACGAGGCCACATGTTCCATGGGAGCGAATGGGTCAACAAACGACGTGGGCAATGGGCTTATATTTTCTGCGGGTCCGATATTTGAGTGACTGCATGGAAACGGCATAGCAGTACCCGAACATGAGATTGCGGTGCGCGGGGGCACTGGACCACCAAAAGAACATGAATCTGAACACGAATGATCTGAATGCGAATGAGTCTGACTGTGAATGAAGCCGGGTGTGGTTGAGAGTGGGTGTCAGGTGGTCTAAGTATGAGAGAATCTGAATGCGAATGGGTCTTGGAATGCGTAATTTCTGAGTATGAATGAGTCTGAATGAGAATGAGTCTGGGTGTGGGCAAATCTGAGCGCGAGTGGGTCTGAATATGAATATAATTAATACGAGTCTGACTATGAATGGGCTTGAGCACGAAAGAATCTGACGACGGGAGAATATTAGGGTGGGTGGGTCTGGGCGTGATTGATTATTAATGCGAGTGGGTTTGAACGTGAATGAATCTGAGTATGAATATGACGAGTCTGAGTCTGAATCTTAGCGGGTCTGAACACGAGTGGGTCTGACTACGAGTGGGTCTGTGGGTGGGTGGGCCTAAGAGTCAGAGTCTGGGTGCGCGTACGTCTGAGTGTGAGCGACACTGAATATGAATCTGATGAAAACGAGTCGGAGTATGAGTGGGTCTCAGCACGAGTGAGTTTGAGCATACATGAGCCCGAGACACCCTCGCAATCTGGACCCCTTGGAGTACTGAAACCCGCGCCTCACCCGACACATCCTCATAATCTGCTATGAACGCATACGAGAATCTGGCCACCAAAACAAGCAAACCGCCTGAAACATCCTCGCAATCTGGGCACCGTCTGGGGTGCGAAAGCCAGCGCCTCGCCCAAGACATCCTCAACATCTGTTCCGAAAACGGATGGTGGCGGGTGGTAAAACAAGCAAGCCGCTCGAAACATCCCCGCCATTGTGGCGCGAACGGAGGAGTGAGATACCCCTTGGCGGCTTTCCTTGGGGGTGCTGAAACCCGCGCCTCGTTCGAGACATCCTCAACATCTGCTCCGACGGCGGATGATGGCGGGTGGTGAAAGAGGCAAACGGCTCGAGACATCCCCGCCATCCTGGCGTGAGTGGAAGAGTGAGATACCCCCTGGCGACTCCCCCCTGGGGGTGCTGAGACCCGCGGCTCGCTCGAGACATCCTCGGACATTGATGCGCCATCATCATCATCATCATCATCATCATCATCATCATCATCAACAACAACAACAACAGCAACATCATAATCATCATCCTCAACAACATCATCATCATCATCATCATCATCATCATTAGCATCAGCATCAGCATCAGCATCATCATTATATTCATCATTGCCATCACCACCACCACCATACCACATCATGACATAACATAACGTAACATAGTATGACATGTCACATCATAACATACAGCCACCTAGCATGTCATAACAAAGCATGACATACCATACTACACATCATAATATGTCATACTATAATACGACATGCCATAACATGGCAAAATGTACAATACCATAACGACCATAACAAACCATATGGTTGCGATTCCGGGTGGGGGAGAGGCGGAGGGAGGTGAGTGAATGGGCAGTTCCGCCTCGGAGCGGTCGGAGTCATAACAAAATCCCCGTCCTTTGGATGTGAGGAATAACATGGTCGCCCTCCCTTGGATATGAGGAGTACTATGAATCCCGTCGTTTGGACAAGGGGAACAAGAACCCCATCCTTTGGATATGGGGAATCACATACCATGTCATAACATGCCATAACGTATGTCAGCGTACCATACCAAAGCATATCACACAACTATAATAAAGTGCCATGCGATGTCATAACGTAACGCAGCATATCAAACCATGGCGTACCATAGTATAGCGCACGGAGGAGGAATGATAACAAAAAACCATCCAGGAAAACGCATATTAACCTCAAAATCGAATCGGGCACCGCTCAGGGTTCACTTTCATTTCCAGGCCGACATGGCGACTTTTCGATTGTGTACATTACAGAACTCGCTACACGCGCGCGGCGGGTGACCCACCCACCGCGCGGGTCATTCCAAATTTTGCCGGTCACCGCTTAGAAGTCATTTGCGTTCAGCCAGCATGGCGACTTCTACATTGTGGACAACACTGAACTCCTCACGCGCGCGCGTGGGGAAGGTCTGACACCAGAACCCATGGTAACTTTAAAATAAAATCCGCCACCGCTGTGGGTTTACTGTAGCTTCCAGCCCAACATGGCTACTTTCTTATTGTGGACAATACAAAACTCGCCACGCGCACGCGCACGCGCGGCGGGTGACCCACCCCCCGCGCGGGTCGCTCGAAATCCTGTCGGTCACCGCTGTGGGTTCACTTCAGTTTCCATACCAACATGGCGACTATTCATCGCATCCCGCTGATCAGCGGTGGTCGACTGGTTTTTTCCTCGCTATGCCTCACGCCTGGGCGAATGACTTCAGAACTCGATCGCCCCTGCCTGGAATCAAAATTGCTCCCTGGGAGAGGAGGTCTGCAGAGGGTCCCATTTTCTTGATCATGCGTGAACTCGGCGATGCGTTACGCCGCGAAAGTACGAAAGGCCACTCGTGAAAGACAATAAGTCTGCTGACCCCACTGCTGAGCGTACTGCGGCGGACCTTGGACGCAACCAGCGTGGCGGAAATCGCGGGCTGTCCTGGAAAATATCTCCAAGGGTGTTGACCCTGCGCATCTCCAACTCTGTGTCGCTCACCTGGGCTCGCTGACATCTGCGTTCGAAGGGTGACGGGGAACAAGACGTCGGCGGAGCGTGTGAGGTGAGGCGAGACAACCAGAGGATGACAGTAGGCGGGAGCTTACCATTCTGCACTGCAACGTTCTACAGAAGCATGCGGAACAACAAAACACAATAACGCTAACTAACAAAAGTAACCATCCTAAATCAGCCTGGAGAGGTATCCAGCCCTCAGAAATTTCATGCAACGCTTGTGACGGATATCTCCATGCACGGGCCATGTGAAAGATGTGCCGAACTGGGTGGGGAAACGCATGCACACTTTCCAACTGGGGCCGCATGTGGAGCTCCCTAAGAGGCGCGAAGCGTGTGAAGGTACGCCGAAATGCGCTCCCACTGGGGCCGTAAGCGAGGTTCCAGTGACGGGTGTACCGAAACAGGCGGAAACACCGATGCAAACTTTCCCACCGCGGCCGTATGTGGAGCGCCTATATGGGGCCACTGTCCTCGTCAGCGGTGTGCCGCAATGGCCGGCGCCGTAAGTGGGGCTCCCTATAGGGCCACGATCCTCGCAATGGGTGTCCCAGCATGAGCGGCACCGCCAGGCGGACCCTGCAACTGAGGCCGCAGGTAGGGCACCGTGTTGGGCCACGGTCCTTGTGAAGGGGGGGCCAAAATTGACGAAACCGCTCTGCGGACCCTCCCGCTGAGGCCGGATTGGGGAGCTCCCATACGAGCCCACCATCCTCGTGAAAGGCGCGCTGACATGGGTGGCGCCGCCATACGGACCTTGTAAATTGGAGCCGAAGGGGGAGCCCCCATATAGGGCCACGAGACCGTCGTGACGGGTGCGCCGAAATGAGCGATTGCGCGGCGCCGCCATGCGGGTGCCTTCACAGGGGCCGTAAGTGAAGGGCGTGCCGGCATGAGGCGGCGCCGTCATCCGGACGACCTCGCTGGGCCCGTTGGTGGAGCTCCCTATGGGGCCACGAAGCGTGAGGATAGTGCCGCAATACGGGCGCCCACACTGCAGCCCTAGGTGGAGATGCCGGTGCGGACGGGTTTGCCGAATTGGTCGGGCACGCTGGCGAACTTTGCCATTGGAGCCGTCGGTGGAGCTCCCCATAGGGTCACGAAACGTGCGAAGGAGATGCCGAAATGGGGCGGGGCCCGCATGCGGCCGGAGACAATTGCGCCTTCGATGGAGCTCCCTACGGGGCCACGAAGCGCGTGAGGGATGTGCCGGCATCGGCGGGAGGACTCTCTGCGGCACCATGCCAAAGAGGCCTTCGATGGAGCTCGCTGTGGGGCCACGCAATGTGTGCGGGATGTGCCGAAATTGGCGGAGGAACCCCATAGGAGCTTCGGTGAAGCTCCCGATGGGGTCCACGACGCGTGCGAGGGGTGTATCGAAGAGAATCTTTTGCCTGGATATTCATAATCCCTGCGATATGGCCCGATAGTGTCTCATAGTCAAATGGGCTTCACAGAAGACATGGGCAAGAAAGGATAATGCCGTTAAGCATACAACAGGTATAACACTGAAGGGAGGAGGCCGGCCCGCCGGCCGACGCGCGCGGCCGCGCGCGGGCGCGTTCCTTTTTCGCAATACCTGAAGCCAAAAGTATGTAGCTGCGGAGACGCAAGTCCAGAAGGAAAAGCAGCCGCAGCAGACAGTGCTGAAGCAAGCAGGACGGGTGAGAAAGGCAAGAACCAGGTGGCGCGGAGGGGTGCACTGACTCCCCCTGCGGCGGGATCCGCAGAGCGGCCCCGACCCCCCACCCGCCAGGCCTGTACATATGTCCAACCACCGGAGCGAACCCCAAAAGAAAGTTTCACCGCTCGACGGTGGGTGCCCGGGGGCGGAAGGCCGGAGAAGCCCGACGTTTCCCGCCTGAGCTAATATTCTCTGCTCAGGTCTCAATGCCCATGCACACCTAGTGCATCCGCTCCACGAAGTAGCACGGTCCAGCATCGACTGTGTCGCGCAGAACCCAGCCATCTTCATCTTCATCTTCTCCAACGGCCTCTTGGTTCCCAAGGGCCATCACATTGCCATCCTCTTCTCGCGCTCCAATTGTTTGACGGGCCCCATTCACTTTGTTCGTTCTTGCCCCGGCCCTTCTCCGACGAACTCGCCTTCGGCGCGGGTGGAGGCGCGGGCGCTCGCAGATTTCTCGATGGTCCAGAAGATCGGCGGAACTTCTCATTTCACTCATCAAGACTAAACCATTGCCACGTTTTGCTGTGGCCAGTAACTGGCTGCTGTCTAGAGAAATGAACATAATATCCTTGAGTCTCTCCAGTTTCGCTCGTCTTCGTAGTCCGCGCTCGTGTCGTGGGCGCCGCCCATGACGAGCCCAGCGCCATGGCCATCGCGCGCAGAACCGCCACCCAGCGGGGCTGCCGGTCCATGTGGTGTGAAATCCGCAGATCTGGGCTCGTCGGCCCATGATCGAACCCTATCGGGATCGACCCGTCCAGTCTCATAGCCTGCAGCGGCTACGCCGGCAGACGCAGGCGAATATGGGGCGGCGCGATAAGATTGCCCTCCGCGCGGGAACCGCGGCCGCGAAGGCGGGCGCGGTCGCGGCCGGGCTCGCCGTGGAATAATGCGTTCAGCAATTGGGGCGGCAGCGACGGCTAGCGACTCGGCCTGAACTGTCTCGGTGGGGGACTCGGCTGCGCCGCTCTCCTCCTTGTTCTTTGCAAAACAGCGTTGTCAGTATTGAAGATTCCAAAGAGGCTGTTAGCGAGACACATTGTGGCATTTTGTCGGGACTCTTTCATGGTATCCATGAAAACAATAATCTCGTGGATGTCGGAGCAATTTTGTCGCGCGGTCTGTGGCACTTCGTTTCCAAAACCGCCGAGCCCATTATCATGCACATCGAACGTTTCGATTGCTGCTCGGATCCGACAATCCATCGCGTAAGAATCTTGTAGGAGCTGGTCGGGTATAGGAGCACGCTGTGCCTCGTGCCCGGGGAAATCTCCACAGACATGAACAAGTGTATCACCTCGCGTACAGCTAACAAAATTCCCCCCGATCTTCCGTGAGTAGGGATGCGGTGGAATGGCTGGTCCCAAATCCTATCTACAAGCTCCTGCAATCCAGGCGGTGCGTCGTGAATCGCGCGCGTATCCAATGGTCTTGCACTTGGCTCATCCGACAGGTATTCGATAATAAACTGCGTTGCTACCTTAATAGCCTCTGACCTATCGCATGTTGCATTGTCTTGTTTATAATCGCACATGCAGCCCGACATAGAAACCATATCTCGCCAGAAAAGCCGATCTCAATGTGGAAGAATCATGTAATGTCGCTGTGCGACATGCTTATTCGATACACCAATCGACATGTGAGCGCTTTGCTCACGTTGTGAAATGACTTCGTTGGCGGGACTGGGCCGGTGATGAAGTGCGGCAATGATTTGGGGATCACTGTCTCCCACCGTGGTCAATACAGACGCTCGTTTCGCCATTTCAAAAGTATACATTAACATATACAGCGTTGGAATAACGAGCCCAATTCCCCCCATCTGTTGTTCCCATCTGGCCCAGCCTCCTTCGGGTTGAATGTGATCTGCGCTCACATGATCCCAATCGAAAGCAGCAAGCGCAGAGCACTTCATAGGGGGAGCATATTGGTCCAGATCACGTGTCCAGATACATGGCCACCATGTGGCAGCAGTGGGGCGATCATCTCCGTGCTTGTGTTTCAACCAATCAATGAATCTAAGCTTCAGGGGTTCGAGATACTGAAAGAAAGGCCCATGTAGTGCCGGCGGCTGCGCCGAGGCGCTGCGTGGTCGCCATGAAGGAACAGCCCCTGGCATAGAAGTCGTATATGCGCCTCCGGCAGATGCCACCTTAAGACGGGCGTCTCCATGCATAGCGCATTGACGCTGGCGCTGTTCAACTTTGCCCAACTTATCCAAAGCATCAGCGGAGCTCTTGTTCAGTGCCCTTAATATGTTGGCAATGGCCTTAAACCGGTTCTCTCCCCTTGGGGGATCCGGTCGACGAGGCCCCAGACCAAGCGTCGCCCATGCAGCAGATGACGCATTTTCCGCAGGCGACTGCATGTAATTCACCTTGACATATGTTTTATACCTGACGTTAGCCAGACAATGCAAACAATGTCCAAAACCTGCCCTAACAGCATGGCAGTCGGCACAGATGTCTCCATCATCACTCCACATTTTCCGCCCGATAAAGGCCTTTTGTTCCTCGGTGAGCGGACCCCGCCCAGTGTCAATTACTTCTTCGTCAGAGAAAATCCACGTTCTCATTGTATCAGACGAGAAGGCAATCTCCCGTGCGGACGGTTCTTCGGAGAAAATTAGGTTCCACATCATTTGTGGTACATGGTTTCTCCCAACCTGTCTAATCACGGATAGTTGCACAATCCGAGAACAATTCATAAACGTGCCTCACCCGCCGCAACAAGAGTCCCATCGCGACAGCTGCGATATCGAAGGCGTGTTGCTACCCGCCCGTTAAAAACGATGAGATACGGCCACTGCTCATTGTGCGTCGCATCGATGTCCAAAAAAAAAGGGTAATCGGACGGGGCCGCTGTCCTTGAGTCGGTTGCCCACCGCCGATAGAAGCGGCGCCCTCGGGCTGAGACGCTCTATTTGGTGGAGCCTCACCACCCTTACGCTGGCTGAGCCAGTGAGGAACAGACCGGGCGTGTTCCGTATGGAACTCACGCTTTGTTTGTATTAATCTGAGAAGACCGCAATCAAGTGCTTTACGCAATCCGCTGGGTTTGTCCGGGTATTTAATGGTCCCGTTTCCCAGCGTTGATTCCTTTATGGCATCCAAGGATCTAACGTGCAACAGGTGTCCGTGACACCGTGCCATTCCAATTTCGCAAGGTGCATACATACGCTCTATGTTGTGAGCAAAACAAGAGTGTCCTCGACACGCACGGAAGAAGAGCGGCATGGGCTTGGTGGCCCGTTCCGCTCTATCCACATTGACGATTACATTCCCGTATTCCTCATCAG